CTCAACAAGCTTGACTTCTTTCCTGGCCACTCCACTTTCTGCAACATTTTTAGCGCTGTGACGTACTGTCTTATGTGCTGTAACACAGTGTACTCCATTTGTACCTCAGCTTCCTTCTGCTGTATGAATTCTGCCACCTAAACTGAGCTATAAAAACTGTGCAGTCAGTTTGGTACAAAGACCTCCCCCATTCCCTTCCACTCCTCGCTGGGGAAGATCCATTTTCAGAGATCACAAGTTGTCTCAGACATACCCAGTACAAGGAAGGTGGCTGCCTGCCCTCCAAGTAATTCTGCCTGTTCCCAAGAGGTTGTGCTCTGCAAACTCGTGGCATTAGTGCTATAACTAAAGCACTTGCAAGGCTGCATCCTCCGAACCATGCTGGTCAAAGTGAGCAACACAAAGAGATCTCTTGTTGCTGAAAAGACTGACTGGTTTCTTGGCATTCAACAGAATCAGTCCTCACTGCCCCCCCTAGTCACCTTTTTTGAGACCTCCAGTCCTTGATTTCTTACAGGCTGAACTGTATTAATGCTGCATTCCATTACATTTAAAAGACTTGCATATTAGGAGAGCACTGAAGTTAACTTCTCATAAAAGAGTCGAGAAGCTTGGATACTTTGGATACTGGAAAAAAGGTACTGAATGAGTTAACTACAACACGAATCTTCTAGCTGGTACCAGCACTCCCTGGGATGCATCCTCCTGGCAGTTCTTGAATGAGCATGGACACTGTGGCACTTGTTCTGATGAAGGAAGGTGAGTTTAACATGGTCGGGTTGTCACAAGCCAGACCAGTACTTTCTTCAGCCTTCTTTTAGTCACTGCTTTATAAGAAAGCAGCCACTTAGCCCAGTCGAGGTCCTGACATTGGTCCAAATCAGACTCACAAGCACTGCTCAGTCCTTAGTTTTCACTGTGGCTCCTTCCTTGCACACACAGATGGGAGAACCAGTACAAGCTGCAGTCTGCAGAAACAGCTAAGGGGCAGAACAAACCCCACGACCACGAGATGCCCGAGCCCAACGGGGCCGTCGCGCTGAGGCTGGAGCTCGGCAGCAACGGGCCCAGCTCCCACCGTGACGGCAGCTTCGAGCACAGCCTGGCAGATACTGCCCTCGTGATACGGGAGAAAAAAAGGGATAATGTGATGAACAAGATGCTTCCTTGCTGGACAAGGATGCTAATCTCCTCAGATATTACAAGAAGGCTCCCCTAAGTCTTTGCTAGTCATCACCCGCTGTGCTTTTCTAAGGTGAGAAAAATTGCCTTAGCTCTGTAAATTAATCATCTCAGCAGTGGCCAGCAAGAACAAAAAAACCCACAGTACTACATATTAGGGACTAAGGCAGCTAGCAATCTTCTGTTCCAGGTCCATTTTTGTCTTTCTGCCTCATTTTCAGAAAGAAAGTGGTTGGCAGGAAAAGTTACACCTGAGTCCAGCATCTTGCTTTCTGAATGCTGCAACGTGGCCTCATGTAGGTGCAGCAAAACCCAGCCAAAATAAAATGTTAAGTCGTCCAGGAGCCAGAACTGAGCTGGAGCTCTCTTGGATCCTACGGTTTCTTTGGCCTAGGGTTATCTGCCAAACGTTGTCCTTACAATAATGTAGGTGTTATCCTTACAGAGCCTGGCAGGTACTTGCTACAGTGGTTTATTGGCCTATCACACAGATTTTTAAGCACATACCTGGAAGAAAATACTACTGTAGAGACTTGAAACCAGTATTAAGATTGATGGATGAATTATGAACGGAAACATCTGCATGCCTGAAAGCATAAACAACGCGATGGCAGAGACATGTGCTCTGATGACAGAAAGAGGACGAGATTAGAGAGCACATATTATAGGAAGACAGACCATAGCTGTAAAGATCCTCAAAACATGGAAACAAGGAGGTACCAACATTACTAAAGTTTTAAGGAAGTCAAAGTAACCAAGACTCCAAGGTGAACAATCATCTCACAGTAATGAGCAAGCCCTAGATGGTATAAAAGACCAGTTCAAGTATCTGTTTTGCTCAAGAAGAACTTAGGAGACCCGCTGGGGACTTGGCAGGTGGCATCCCTTGTCCCCTCTGCAGCACACAAGGCAACTTGTGCAGACCACCTGGATACCAGATCCTGGCACTTGCACGCAGGGGTGAGAACATACGCGAGCGAAATCGAGGAGGGGTGTGAATGACTGAAAACACTTTTGTTTAAAATAAACACCAGCTTTCCCTTCTGTAACATCTCACACTGAGTTTCACTATATTGATTTCTTACACTACTGCACAATGACCGTGCACTATAAAGGCCAGTAATGGCTGGAGGACTTGGTATGTGACAAAAATTAAAGCCACGGAGCAGTGCTGGTGCTGTCATGCACTTTACTGGCACATTGCATGATCTTAAATTCCAGGAGACTCATCCTTTAAACCAGTCTGCAGCTTATTTCAGTTTTCAGGTAAAACTCTAGGGTATTTTCTTGAAGTAGGTGCTAGTACTTTTGAAGAGAAGTGTATTCCTATATAATGAAAGCCTCTCCATAAAATCACCCGTATTTTATGCACTCCGTTCACAGTATCTACGGTGCTGCTCAGGATTATGCAGCATGGAAAATTCTTCTATCGTGACTCCTTGCATTTGAGGCTGAGCAGTTCCAGCTAACTGCAGCTACCTGCAATAAATATAAATATGCGAGCCAAACACAGCATCAGTTTTTAGAGCACGCTTGACTATAGCTGAAAACAGGTATTTAAGGCCTTCTGCAGCACAGTTAACCTGCAATCCTTGATCATTTCAGTGTATCACCTCTGGAAGTTGTCCTCTCAGTCTTAAGAAATCAAACTGAACTTTGGAAGATGAAGTTTGACTGCACTGTCTTCCCTGTGTGAGCTGAAAGAGATTCAAGGGAAGGAAAACTGGGACAACTGCATCTCTCGGAAAACTGGATTTTGACAGTCACTGGTGAAAAGTGTCTCTGATCTAAAAAAAGATGCATGGATTTTGATAGTCACTGGTGAAAAGAAGGAATCTGCATCAGTAAGAAACCCAACACCTGAAAGGAAATGAGGTTGCCATGGCCAATGCAGCCCTGAATCTTCACTTGGCTCCCCTTAGAAAACAGCCAGGCTAAATGAGAAGGGCAACAAAATCTGATGCAACAGGAAAAAATTCTGCTCCTCAGAGCTATTCCCCAAACACTTCCCTTCTTTGCTATGGGAGAAGAAAGGAGAAACTCCCCTCCCACCATGTTCCTAGAGAATAGAGCCCTCTTAGCTCTTTGTGCTCCCAGCCCTGTCTGCAGATACCTCACAAGAGATATCTTGTGGTTCTCAAAGAGCTGCGACTCTCAAGGGCTTTCCAGGGATCAATTATCCTGCCTAGGAACAAAGTGTTCAAGATCTATTTTGCACCATTTCCAGAGAAATAAGAGCAGAAACTGTCCCATCCCTTGCAGAGGGGCTAATGAGGATGTTTTAGCAATGTTTGAGGCTCTAATACTGCATGTTAGACTTGTTCTAACAAATGTGTTTAGATTGCAGGACAGAGTGTTTCTTCACTGAGCTGATAACTACAGGCTCCTTGCCTCAAGGGTAAAACAGCACTTGCATGGACGTAGTATTTTCTTCAAAGACTAATCAAAGCACCCAGTATATGTAACAACAGGCCACAGGCCTTTGGGAGAAAGCCTTCCCAGGAGGGCAAGCTATATAAACATCAAAAGGAAAGCATCCTCCTGTGCATGGAAGGCAGATTCTTGCCCTATACTGTCAAGGGACTGAATTTAGTCTCTAATCCTCTGAATTCTGTAGTGGAGGAACACTCCAGCCACAGGATTTTGGTGGTATAGTAAGAATATTTCTTCAGAGACAACAACTCACCAGAGAGGTAAGGAGCAGCCCAGCTTTGGGGTGACAAGGTTTCTATTGCAGACTTCTCTTTGACATTCCCAACCTTCAATGCAGATGTATGAGGCTTTTCTAGGGTTAGCCTACTTCTAAAGCTAAAGAAAGACCTTTTAATTTATAGCATGTTACTTATTTAACATGAAAATGGCATTAATTGAGAGAACCTTTGTACTGTTCTACTCTTATACCAGCACACTTGGAATACCACAAAGGACTGGAGAGAACAGACAGAAGCCAACTGTGGTATTTGACCTACACAGCACATGACTTAGGTATACAAATATTTTGGCCTCATACCTGTAAGGATGGAATCTGCTGATATATAATCCCCTCTGTCCCCTTTTTAACTATGTTCCCCCTCCCCTCAAGAGATTTCCATGAGCCATCATCTTAATAAAGTAATGATATTCTCCATATATTACTTCAAATAATGGGAATACAAAAAGCATAATTCGAGCCAAGTCAGCCTCTAAAAGTCTACATTTTGGATCCTGTGCATTCCATTCAGGTGTAAAACCTATACACAAAGTGTGTTATAATTGTTCTTAGGTCCAAAAACCTTTTTAAAAACCCATTCACTGAGAACACTAACTCAGGTGAAATAGAAAAAAATAGCTTGCTACCAAAACATACAGAGGCTTCTAAATACATATTTTGATAATAAATATCAACATTTTGCTACTTGTATCCTTTTCATGTCATCACCTCAGCACTCCTTGGCATATTTTTTTGTCCAAGAGGCTAGGAGAGAAGCGACAGACAGCTTTTGTGCAACACACTAAAGGCTCCTGGTTTATAATTTATTGCCAGTAATGATCCTCAGCTATTCACCCTGAACTACTCTTCTAAAGGCAGAGCTGTTAAAAGTAATGGGTATCTGCTTCAGCTCAGAATAATGAGGACAGTAAGAAAAAAACTACATAAACAGCTGAAGTATGCGCCAGCTATGCAGACGCACAGCTCTGCTCGGCTCTAATTGAATGGGCAGTACACCTGCAGCACAGACAAGTCAAAAAAAACACACCTTCTATCAGGTTAGAGGAAAATTAATAGGTCTAACAAGAACAGGGCAGCCCCCAAGTGATTACCCAGCTCCGTGACTTACTTTCCCTCTGATCCGTAGCTGTTCATGCTGTCCTCGATGGATTCGTGGCTGGCTTGGCGGACGGTCCGGCTGGGCATCTCAACAGCTAGCCCGGTTTCCGTGCTCCTCTGGATGGCTCCTTTGAGTCTCCGACCATCCCCATCTACAAGCAGAAGCAGAGAAGGGCAGTCGGCCATCATACCCATTGGGAATAACAGAATCAAGAAGCAAAGAAGGCCTTTTAGAAGGTCAGCCCGGCAACCTGGCCATCACCTTGCGCTTCAACAGCAGCTCTATCATCTTTGGAGCACACCTGGTGATCCAGCAAGCCAGGGCCCAGCAGCTACTCAAAACATACCCCCTACCTTAGTTACTTTAAGCATTTGTATCAGTCAGTTATGCTCTGAGCACAGACACATGCAGACCCCCAAGCCAACCCCACACATGGGGCTGCCCAGGCCAGGAACACAGCAGCAGGACCATGGGCACAGCTGAAGGTGCAAACTCAGCTGTGCCCTTAATGGTTCCTAAATTCTGCTCTCTCACACTGGGAGGAGCAGCAATAAGCTGTAATTCCTGGTCAGCTTCAAAGCATTAGAGAAGAAGGAAAAGTCCAACAGCATTAGATGTGTCTGCGGAGAGAAGGAACCTCCCCAACAGGCAATAGGAAATACTGACGTGCAGCCAAAATATTCCTTGCTGCAGGCCACCCTGGAAGAGCATCCGTCCTGGAAAACCCCCCAGAGAAGACTGGGCCTTTCACACACACCCTCAGCCAAAGCTCAAAAGGGAGTTAAGTAGGTTCTGTCTTCTGCTGAGCTTAGGCTTCAAAGGCTCTGAAATTAGCAGCTGCTATTTTAAACCTTCTTTTCCAGAAGTCTGCACTTCTCAGAACAAGCATGTTATATAATGAATATGTAATGTATACCATTACCATTGATTGCCTTTACTGGTGTCAGGAAGCTCCAGATTTCATCCTACATACAGCACGCATCTGGAAGAACGTCAGCTCCAAGTTTTCTGTGCAAGGCAGAATATCTAAATCCCTTCACAGGTGCCCACCCAGAACCCTGAGAAGGAAGATGCTGCTCATCAGGTCTCAAGCAACAGACCTTTGAAGCAACCTTCCTTATACTGCTATGGATTTTTTGTTGTTGTTGTTGTTGCTGTGACTGCAGCAGACAGTAGCATGGATGGGAGAATGTCGCACTCCTAAGTAATGGTTCTTTTGGAAAACCAAAGAGCATCCCTTGAAATGCTCTTTTGCATTTGCCCTTGCTTTTAAGAACATCCCTTGAGAAATGACCCGGTCATGTAAGTCTCCAGTATTCAGGAACTCCAAGGACCCCCAAATACCAAAGAGGTTAAGTCTCTGCCAGGTACTTTGGAAACAAGAAGATATCTGTAAGAACATGCTCAAAATACACAGAACATCGTTATTTGTGGAGAAAGCTGCTCGATCTAGAAATTCTTTCACTCCAAGAATCAAAGAAAAGTATGAGAAAAAAAAATCACCAAGATAATAAAATGCTTTCTTTCCTACTTCTCACATAATGCCTACAGCTTCTGCAAGGACGGGAACTCTTATACCAACTCAGCCCTGAAGTCCCCTTCTCCTCCAGCACCAGGATGTTTCCAAGCGGGTGAACGCGCCGGCCCCGGGGCTCTGCACCAGCTGCGCCCCGCACACGGCAGCCCTCTGGGCTAGCAGGATGGAGCATTATGCATGCTTTGGGTTAACATTAACTACAAACTGTGCTGTTCGTGTGCCTAGAGCAACGTATCAAACACATTGTATAAATCAGGAAATTACACAAACATAAAACAGATATTTTTAAAGTACTTTCTAAACACAAACCTGCAGGCAAGAATATTAATAGACATCAATAAAAGCAAAGCCTCATGAAAAGGCCCTGTTTCCCCAGCCACTTCAGAGAAGTCCAGTCTTCTCCCAGCTCTTCTTCCAGCCTTTCTGCGAGTGACTGCTTTTCCAGTATTCCTAATTTTTTTCAGAGCACTGACACATGGATATTCTCATTTACAAGGGAGAAAAAAAAAAGTGATGGTAACAGAGAAGCTCCAGAAATCAAGAGCTGGCAGACGAGGGCAGGTTGGCTGCCCGGGATGAGCCGCGATCACAGGATCCTTCATCCTTCCTGGCAGGGACACGTAGCAACTGCTGTGTCTAACAAACCCAATGAGGCATCTCCACTGTCACTTGAGAAGGTGTCTCTGGCCCTTTTCACCTTCATTCTCTTTTGCTGCAAGTCTCCCTTGAACAGAAGAAGATGATCCTGCTTCTCCAAAAGGGCAGGGTTCCCACCCAATGCAGCACGCGAGGCGAGACTGAAACGGGATGACAGACTGGGATAAGCACCAGTGAACCAGCAGCAACGGGATGTAGGTTTCTAACCCTTCACAAACCCTCCAGTTAAACACAATCTGTGGTCGGTATGCAACAAAAATTGTGTTTTAATTCCCTCGGCTGGAAGGGAAGCACAGGACCACAGAAAAGAGCACATCAGAAGAAGGAGAAAATGCAGAAAGGAATAAGTACATACGAAGCTGCATTGCTGCAGACGAAAGGAAGAGACTGGTGCTTCCACCCCTCGGTAAATCAAGGGGGTAAATGGCACGTCACTGTGAGGGTGGCATCTGACAAATCTAATTTTTTATTGTGTTAGTGGTATCTGGAACAAGCAAAAATAGTATTGACTTTTTCTGCAGCGTCGCCAGATTTATTCTGTGCACTTTTTCCAATTAAGCAGTAAACCACAAAGGTTAAGCAGCCAGTCAAGTCTGCAGTGCAACATACAGCTAAAGAGCAGAACCTGGCTCAGAATGACCTTGGGGAGAAGAATTCTTTTTGCCGGAGCAGTTACCCTGATGATCGAGCTCCAAGAACCAGAAGGGACCAGAAGACACTTTGCCAAGTTTTCCACGTCTGCAAGCACTTAGACTTTGCTAGTTCGTGCTCTGTTGAACCAAACAGTTTATGCTTAGCTAAAAAAATACCTTCTAAAAAGGCGTTTGAAAGCATTCAGAGATGATGCATCTGCTATTTGCCTGAGCAGTTCATTTCACTCCTGACATCTGAAGATGTCTTAAGCTTGCCTGATGTCAGCTTTTAGCCATCTTTTTTTTTTTTAATGTCCTTCTCCGCAGTGAGGGCTGCTTTGTGTCCTTGCTGTGGAGCCTCTTCTGCAGTGTAATCAAGTCATCTCTCAATCTGCTTTTTGACAAGTTAAACAGACTGAGCTGTTACGTTTCTCATGCATTTTTTCCCCACTTGTCCTTGAATCATTTTAACGACCTCCCCAGGTTTTAAGCACCCTTTTGACAACATGCACAGCAGAAGTAGAGAGCGTGTTTTAGTACAAAAACACGTAGAGAGGCAAAATCCAGCTGGTACTCTCAGCTTCTGCTTGTATCACCCAGGACTCCAATGAGTTGCTCTTGGAATAGTGTCATGGTTCAGTCCCTGCCCCTCCTGTCAGTACAGCCTTGCAGAACTGTACTGTAAAGAGTAAGAAAACTTCAATGCAAATGGCTCTATCCATCTCTTCCATCCTCAGGACAATTTACTACCCTGCCAATACGGTAGGATTGAATTCAAACTCGTCCCAAATCAAATGAAAATGCTGAACGCCACCAGGGCTTCAAAACAGCCTCTTGCCTTTGATGAAGACTTTCCTTGACGATGGTTTTTGAGATGTGAAGCCAGCTCTTAATCCATTTATCGCTATTACAAAACATTACTTTTTTAAGGTCACATTGTTCTAGGTCAAAACCTTTACATACTTATCACTTTTACCCATATACCTGCTTCTACTAAAAAGCAGAATAAAGCTTCTAAGAAGACCCATTTTTGCTAAAGCCTTCTTGACTAGCACTAATTATATTCCTTTCATTCTTTATTAATTGAATCTCATTACTATCTTTCCCCTAATTCTGACTAGAACTGACGTCAGATCAACTAACCAAAAGCCCCCCCAAGTTAAAGTGACCACGCAGGTGCACAGGGGATATTTTCAGGGGCCAGCTGCCTTGAAAGGCACTTTTCAAGGGTGATGCAGTTTCCGCGGCAGAACTGACTGCTATTAGGAACAGCATCTATTTTAATCCCGGGGAAAATTAACCAAAATATAATTAAAAGAAAAGCATTCTCCCCTTCTCTCCCCCAAGGGAACACAGTCCCTTTCATGCTATCTTCTGTGCCAGACCAAAGGCCTTTCCCTCTGCTCCTGACAGGTGTGTCTGTGCTCAGAGGACACAAAGCCTCAAAAATCCAGGCTAGCTCTGCAACAGCTCATTGCAAGGTCA